AACCAGAGACATTTTATGGAGGTGGAATCAGGAATGGGATCAAAAATGGGGGAGAGAGGGAAGTGCATTGGACTATGGTGATGAGACATGGGTGATTTGGTGATAGGAAGCCCAAGGGGATTGCAACTGAGGTGGAAAAGGCACAAAATGATGTAAAAATAAACTATTATTTAAAAAATAGTAGGAAAAAAAAAGACTTTTTTTGTAGACTCGGGGCGTGGGCCAGAGGTACAGGGGCAGTGAGAGGATTCACCACTGACAGAGTGGGGAGAACAGGCAGATGGACTGAAAAACACTGCTGAGGGGAGCAGTGGGCGAGACAGGATAGGTCTGCTGTGCCATGTGGGTCAGCTCCCTGGCTGGGTTTTAACTCAGGGTGTAGAGGTGGTAGCACTGAGACTTGACCCCTAGGCCACAGGGAGGCCCTAGTTCCTAGTATGGGTCCTAGTTTTCACCAACTCTGAAGGTAACTGACTCCATCAGCCCACGGGTTTTGATTAGCACCAGCGCTGGGGTTACTACATTTAAGGGCCAGGCTGCAGCGAGAAGCTATAGAGACAGGGACAGCATAGGACACGAGGCCTGGTCTCTGCACATGAAAGAGAACAGGCATAAAGCAGCAAGAGCCACAGAAGCAAAATATAAATGCACAGAAATCTGAGCGCAGAAGGCAAGACCATGCGCGGTGCCCTGGCTGACCACCAACCAGCCCCGCCCAGACAGGACAGCACCAGGCCAGGCGGTGTCCGAGTCCCTGTGGTCATAGGCCTTGCCGGGGCAGGTGCTATGAGGGACAAGGACAACGAGTATTACTGCCATGATGCTATGAGCATGGGCTGAACACAGCCCCGAGCCACCCCCCAATCCCCCTCCGGCCACCCCCAATCTCTCCCACCACACCTGCAGACAGCACAGCAAACGTGATTCTGGAAGGTCTTCATTTATTTCACATCAAACTTTAGGAATCATTTTTTTTTTTTTTAAAGATTTATTTGTTCATACAGAACTGGGGTACAGACCAGAGGCTCAGGGGCGGTGAGAGGCTTCACCAGAGACAGAGCGGGGAACAGAACAAGCAGATCG